TTAAATTAAGGGCTGTTTTCAAACAGAAAAGTGAAATATGAAAGTGATAGTGAAAAAGCTATCGTCCTGACTGTGCTGTGTCTATTGAAACTCCTCAATGATGAGAAAACCGAAGGGGGCCAACATTTAATTAGCCAAGTTTTCCTTTAAATTTAATTTGGCTCTCCATTATTCAGAACGCCCTCCCAGAGTTACTATTTGCTCATTCCAGTTACAAACCCTGAACCCAATGGAGACTTAATTCAATACATCAAACACTTCACTGAGAGTTTCTAAAGGTCAAGCCTTATACTAGACCCTGGGGATATTAAAAAAATATTTCCATAATATGTGTACAATCAATATTTGTATGCATAATCATAGAAATACAACTAAGGTCATAATCCTTAGTTGGCAAGAATAAAAGTGGTTGTTTAGGGGGTAGGCAAATAATGAAGAATTTTTACTTTCTCTTTTAGATTTTTCTGAATTTCCTAAACCGTTACAAATATTTTTTAAAAATACTAAAAAAAGAAAAATCCAAGGCTCCTTCTTTGGGAGGGGAGGGAAGGAAAACAAAGACAGGTTAGTTATATATTTGTTGCGCATAGCAAATCAATCCATTACCTTAATAAAAATTAAATTTTTTTCTCTTTAAAAAGTTCCAATTATGATAGTTATCAAAAACAATTTTGAGAATCTGAGCTCCTATCTAATGGCAAATGAATGATGACCTTTCCTATCAAATCATGCAGGCAAAATCTATTTGTCTTAGGTAAGTATTCAGTAGGTCATACAAAAAGTCCTTGGCTTTGGAGTGATGCCTGTGGCTCAAGGAGTAAGGCACCGGCCCCATATGCTGAGGGTGGCAGGTTCAAATCCAACCCCAGACAAAAAACTGCAAACAAAAAAAGTTCTTGACTTAAAAAAATTCCATTTATAATGTTAGATAATGTAGTTGCTCCAAAACTCATGGGGGAATAATAAATACCACTGTGAACCAAAAGAAAAAAAAAAAAACTCAAAGAACTAAAAATAAAAAGAATGAGTCATGGAGACATATGCATTTATGTTGGTTTTTTTAGTTTTGGTTCGATAGATACAAGTGAAAAATGAATTTTTACAAAGTGCTTTAGGTTCTGAAGCTTATGTTAGAAGCTGAGTAAATATAATAATACTCAAAGAAATAAACTGGAAACCACAAATCAAATATTTATAACCAAATGCCTAACCGCAGAACCCCCAATGCCATTCCTCTCTAATGAGCTCAGATTAGTAGTTGCAAACTCAAATCAGAAAGTGTGAATCACTCACTCCTGAGCCACCTGTAATGATGTGTTTATCAGGAAGATCTGTGTGGTGTGCTACTCATAAATTTCTACCAATCACAATCAGTTGTTTCAAAACTCACTGCAACCTCTTTTTCCGTTAACCAGCTCCAGATTTCTCTAAAAATAATTTTCTCCACTCTTAGGCTGATAAGAGGAGGCGCAAAGGGGAGGGGAAAACCTCTTCATATGTTAAGAAAACTGTATGCTGTCTTTTTAAACCTACAACCCATCCTTCCTTACTTTCCTCCCTTTACTTACACTTCCCATCTGTCAACAAGTGCTTGTAATTTTATTACACTGTCCTGTAGTTGATGCAGAGTTGGTATTATTTTACAGATTTCTGTTAATGGACTGGATAAATGGTAATGGTATTTCAACTAGTCTCCTGCTCCAACAAACACAGCTGCAACTGTGCTACTATTTCTGAGCAAACATCTTGACCTGAACATGTAGTGCTCTCTCAACCCGTCCAGAGAGAAATTGGAGCAGACAGCAAAGGAAAAGCGTATTTGGCCGCTAGCAGCAACCGACCGTGTCGAATCATAATTCATATTCAGTAGACCCTCTTTTGCTTTTATATTGCACTTAAGAGTTTGCAAAAAGCATCTTGGCTTCTTCCCCTGGCATCTTGTTTTCAGCTCTGGGTCAAAAGATGATTTATTTATTACAAAAGCTCAAAGACAATCAACCTATTGTCCAGTACATCAGATTAGCTTTCATCTAAGCAAATCAATGCTAAAAAGTAAACATCAGTGTATAAACTACACAGTCTATTAAACTGGTCAACGTTTCTGGTGATTAAAAAAATACCCTTTTTATTGGTTATAAGGGAAAAATAGGAGAAAGGATGGGCAAGAGATAGAAGGAAAGAAGTACATTTAGATATCAGCATCCTGTGACAGGTTATAGAGAGAAAATAAACATTACATTTATTGTATTAGTTCTAGAGATTTGTCTCTATCATACTGTAGGTGCAACTATGGTTCAGTTACTAAGTATATGCAACAGTCAAATACTTTCCTTGTCCCAATATTTTTTCCTATTATTTGTCAAAACTTCTGCATCTGTTTTTTTTTCCTGTCATGCGTACTTCTAAAAAATTTTTCCTTTTGAAATGAACATTTTGAAAGACACTTTTGTATGTAGGTTTGTGCAAATTTTTCCATCCGCTAGAGTACCTGTTTCAGATGTGCTCCTGGGCACTTCTATCATACAAAGAAAATCTCAACCTGCACCCACCAATTTCACAAGCTTTTGATCATCTGTTAATTTTTAAGAATGGTTGTTAAATTTAATTAGCAATTCCTAGCATAAAACAGTCCTCACTCACGTGCAGTTTGTAACTTATCACTCAAGAGAAGTATCACTGTTTACCCTTCATCTAAGTCTAATTCGGGGGAGGCCTGAGTTCCTCAAGTCAAAAGAAGATTCCTGCTCTAAGGATGCAGATAAAATTACCCCTTTAGCTTCCTATGTGCATCTAATACCTATTTCAGGTCACGTTCCCAAGTAAAGATGAGTATTTCTTTCAATATTAAACATCAAAACATCAAAGTATAATTTCAGGCATATCTAAATACATCAAAATATTTGCATCCGTCTTGCAACTAATTCCAACTAACAGATACAACTTTAACTTGTATGACTCCCCAGGGTAAGTCTTTCGAGCCAAACAGGAACATACACACACAGAACATATTTTCTAACTACCCCGTTCCCCATTTATGAACATGTCTTTATTTAGTGAGGAAACACTGGCTTAGCGTTTGTTTGTTTGTTTTTCCAGAATACTATGGGGGTACAAACGTTTTGGTTATGGGTTCTGTTTCTATAATTCTCTTTTCAAAGATTTCAAGTCTTTTTCTTTCACACAGCAGCTGCATTAAGTTACAAAAGCAAAAGAAAACATAATAGAAAATCTCTCGCTTCACCACATGGTACTGTCAAAGATGGAAGCACGTTGAACAGAGTGTAATTTGCAGATGGGGGATTCTGCCCTGGATTATACCTCCCGAAAACTCCTGGGGAACTTGATCCACCTGCCTCCAAACTAAACATCAAACAGTCTTGTTTCTCAGAGATAGTGTCTCCTTGACTTAATCATTTTAATTCCAGATAACAGATATTCTCTTTAAAATTATATTTTTATAGCACCTAGAAAATGGACTTTCCTTGACTGCTATGTATTGTTTTAAAATACACACAAGCAGGAAAGCAGAAGTTAGCAGTACTCATTGTATATTAGCTGGAAGTTAATTCTTTAAAAATCTCCTCAATCATCAATAATTAAAGCAGAGAGTGCAATATTATTAGAACCAACTCTGTGGCCCTTCCTTTGAAATATAATTTTAGCAAATGATAAAGATTTTAAGATTAGATTTTGCTATCATCTTTCCAGCAATCTGCATCTTGTTCACTTGTTAGAAAGAGTTCCTAATTTTTTTTTTTTTTTTTGCTAAAAGATGGTTTCAAAGTATCCTTATTTGATTTTTTAAAAATCTACTTAAATAGAGCTATTTAAGCAGCAGGAACAAAAAAATTATTTAAAAAGAAGAGAAGAAAGCCTGCCAGGTGACTTTGGTTATCCTCAGAGGAAGAGAGTCAGGCAAATCAGATTCTCAGCAAAATGGTGCCACAGATGGGGAAGTTCTTTCTACGCTGAGTGAAGGTAGGAGGAGGCCCTAACACGAATCCTCATTATAATAAGGGCAGGGGTGTAGGAACTGATAACAGCCCTAAAGCCTTGGCTACAAAGTCAAGTTTGAAGAAATGCAATATCAAGTTTGGAGAAACGCAATATGCTCGTGCTGTCTGCAAACACTCCCGCATGGGCCTTCCCCAGCATCCCAGGAAGGGGGCCACTCGGAGCAGTTGCTCTCTATCCCAGCAGTTCTTCCACACCACGCACACACATCAATAATCATAGCCATTTATTTTCCCGACACTTTGTACTTTATCTCCCATCTGCACAAAATCATGCATATGGCTGAAAATCTCATCTTAAAAGTTTTCTAAAATGTGTTTTCACTATTACACATTAGCTCAGCAAACAAGCATCCCAGGGAGGAGAAACTGATTCTCCTTCATATTCACGTTACGCTCCTTTAAAGAACTCCTTCCTTTCACAGCCTATGACCTATTTGATATGAAAACCTTGCCTTCGTATTGCAGAGTTTGGGATTCTGGCTTCAAAAGGAACATTTAGGAGGAACTTTACAGCCCTCTTTAAATGCCTTATAATAATATTTTCAGACTAATAAACACTACTGCTTGACTACAGGAACAATACCCCAAAAAAGCTGACATTAAAAACCTCAACTTTACAAGGAAACACTGCCAACTTCCTCATGAGAGGAAGCACAGTAGCAATTTTTCTCTTCAAAATGCAATCATTGAAAGTTTCCATACAAAATTAGGTAAACCTCACCATCATCTCACGACCAGAAGAAAAGAATAATACAATTTCTGTAACACGCGTAATAAGCCACAAAATACTAACCAAAGGAAACAAGCAGGATGACTGGAAATCTAATCATAAATCTCCTTAAGAAAAAACAAGAAAGGCAAACTTTTAATCCATTAATCTATGAGTGAATAGATTCCAGGAAAGCACAAGGAAACAGATCCAAAACGCATTTAATAAACTCAAGGTACTACCCAAAGCAACAATAACTATCTGTGTCTACTTACAGCCTGTACAGCTTCGAAGTCCCAAGAAACAGCAACTCAGGAAACAGCTGAAGGTGGTTTCTGTTTAAACGCCTTTTGAGAAAACAAAAACAAAGCTTGTGTTACACAGAATATACCCAACAAGGAGCCTGTGATTTGGTAGTGTCATGCCTTATCTTGTATTTCAAGAAAGAATGAAATGACATTCACGAGAATTGAAGCACTGCAAATCAAAACCTGGTTACACCTTCTGTTATACGATTCTATAAAGCAATTTTTCATTGTGCTTACTTACTCTGATGATGACTACTGGGGCCTAAACTCTGAACTCAAATCCTGTGCCAACATCAGTCATCCAGCATGTATATACATGGATAAAGGATGTCCTAACTCAGACTTTAGAGCCTAAGTTAGCTGCAGAAACATCACAGCAGATTACCTTAAAATAATTCGAATGCTGTCCCATTTCACCTAAATCTTCAGCCATACTGTTGTGGGCAGATGGAAATTTTGATTTTGTTAGTTTTTCATCTCATTGGGATAAAAAAAGAAGTATGAGAAACTGTCAGCATCATTTGTCTCCGTAGGCAAAATCAGAAGAAAACCAACCCAAAGTTCAAAACTCAACCCACAGCTCCCAAGCCTTAACTGAATTTAAGGCTCAGAGCTACAACTAATAATGGAATCAGAAGTGTTTAAGTAATGTTTTAAAATGTTTAAATGACATTCTTTGTTTTAGAAAAGAATTTGGTTGCAACTCTAACTTGATTTCAGGCTTGATGTCACGTATCTAAGTTCTTTCGGGATAAGCACACCTAGTAACTAAAGAGGGGGCAGATCCCATCTCTGATGTACTAACACCCCAGTCCCATCTGTTTGAAAATGTATAACTTCAAATTAAAAATAATTTTCATCTCTCTGCTTTTCTCAAATCTAAATAAAATGATAAAAAGCCGATATAAAATGATGCAAATGATTTAAAAGTTGCTTCACTCCAGAGAAAAGTAGTTCCAGAAACTAATGTCACACTGAAGAAACCAGAGGTATTTTTTTAAGTCTTAAAGATAAGGAAAAGACGGCATACCAATCCCAACATATTGAAAGGACTATCAGGTAGATGCAGAATTATACTTATTTAGTCCCCAGAGGGTAGAAATGTGACATGTGATTGTAATATCTGCTAAAAAGTAGATTATAGGGAATTAGATTATAGCAAAGAACTTTGAAGAATTAGAGATATTAAGGAATGAAAACTCTCAACCCCTTGTCCCAAACATATTCAAATAGAGGCTACACATGGTTTTTGTCATTGTTGTTGTATGTTTTTCCTGCACGTGATGGAATAAAAGGAAATTCTCTACTAGATGAGAAGTGCACCAGGTGAACCTCAAAACTTCTTGCAATTATAAAATACCACAAGGCAACGATGGCAACTGTAACTTTTGTTATGTGAACTCATATTGCTAAGAAGCTGGTCATCCAAAGAAAAAGTAAAATAAAAAGTCTACAGAAACATTCTCAGCACTTAGAAAATGCATGCTAATGAAATGTATGGCAAGACTAGTGGGGGCAAATGGTGGAATCAGTGGTGAAAGGGCAGATTTACTCCCCACTTGCACCATTTTTATGGCTAAAGCACAAAACAAGATGATTCAAAGTGAATCCAGAGCTTTTATTCATTTGTTCTGTGTTGGGCATGATTCTGAGGAGAATTTCCAAAGTCTACCATTACACTGTTTCAATAAATTACAGCTTAATTATTACTCTGTTAAAAAAAATAGACAACAAAAATTGCTATAATGGTTATGAGAACGCTTTCTAGAAAAGCAACCACTCTTGAAAGGACCCCACTGCCCAGAGAGCCAATCCCAATTCCTGAAATGGCAGAGATGGGCTTTTTAAGGTGATTAAATCCACCAGATTGACAAATCTCTTCTGTGAGTCTCTCCTCAAAATAAGCATGTTCCTCATGCCCTAGTCCTTGCAGAGACAGCTCCTGGGCAGACTGCTTTCTCTCTTCTGCAAATGGTATTCTTACATCCTCTGGGAAACTTCCCTGGATGCTCCTACTTAAAACTAATGCTCTGGCAGTGAGCCCATAAGAGTCCCTCACACCATATAATATTTATTCATCCTCTGGTCTCTTTCCACTAGGCTGGGAGCTCTCTAAGGATAGAGACTAAATCTCTTCCTTTTTTTTTTTTTTTGGTACTTAGTAGGTTTTGAACCATATCAAAAGGCACGGGGAGAAGTCTGTTCTCATGCAACACTTCCCAACCTTCCTTGTCACTTGGTAGGTTCTTAGGAAATGTTACATGAGAACAGACTATTCTCTTTGCACTTTGATGCAGTTCAGCAAAGCTCTACCACATGCATTCTACATCAGGCCCCTTGTTCTTGGCATACTCCCTGGGGGACCTTCGAAGCTTCTATGTCCCTTTGCAGCTGACCAAATCTCCACAAAACCTGCTGTCATATGTCCCATAGGAGTAGGACAGCTTCCTTACCTACTTCCCCTCATCCCACACATTCCTGAAATCACCTAGAATTTGGAAAGAATAAATGTATTTAAACAAATAAAGATGTAAGTGTGACTTGACAGATGCTACCAGGTTTCTTGTTAATGGGTCTACATGAGTATAATTTGTATATTGTGAGAAAGTCATTTCAGATTGAGTGCTAACAGTGTCATTTTCTTAATTATTATTGTCATTTTCTTATTCCCAATGGCTCTGAATTCACTCCACAAGTAACAACTAGCACATATTAAGCTTACAGTGTGATGGTTTACAAGTTCTCTGGTTCACCCTTTCACAACATCTCTGTGAATAAGTATGATTGTTCCTGCTGCTCTGAAGAGACACACACCTCAAAGACAGAAAGCTGAGACCTGAATTCAGATGGTGAAACTCCAGCATATATTCTCTGAATCACTCCTCTGAAAATAAATAACAGTCTAAAATTCCCAAGCAATAATTCAAAATAATATCAAGCTGAAACTCTCCTTCTCATCTATTCTTCCTAAAGAAAAACATACTTTTATATTATCCATTTCTTCTTCTTCTTTTTTTTTTTTTTTTAAGACAGAGTCTCAAGCTTTTGCCCTGGGTAGAGTACCATGGCATCATAGCTCATAGCAACCTCCACCTCTTGGGCTCAAGTGATCCTTTTGCCTCAGTTTTTCTATTTTTAAAAGAGACGGGGAGTCTCACTTTAGTTCAGGCTGGTCTCGAATTGGTGAGCTCAAGTGAACTGCCTGCCTCAGCCTCCCAAAGTGCTAGGATTACAGGTGTGAGCCATTGTGCCCCGGCCTAAAGTCCATTTCTTAAATATCACTAATCACCTGAGTTTTATTTCCTTTAAAAAGCTAGCCATTGTGTTCAATTTACTGTTTTAAATGCTCATTTTATCTACTTAAAATACCTAAAGCTGAAAGAAAACTGAAAATATGTATAACACATTTCCCCTGAATGCAAGTAGTTTATCATCATTATTTCATGAAAATTATTATGAGTTATCTTTAATATATCTAAACTAACCATGACATATTTCTGTGTCAAGCATAAATCAAGGTAGTATCACACACAAAAAGGGAAGATAACAGTAAGAGATCTGATAATACGTGTAGGGGAAAAAAACAGTATAAATTTGCCCTTTTTTGCTTTAAAAGAATTTCAGGGAACTTTTGGCTCTTTTTTCTTCCATTCTGTCTTCCATCAGTTCTAAGGTTAAATGGTCATGCAAACATTAAAATAAAAAGTGAAACTTCCAAAATATTTACAGGGGAGATTCTTGCACAATAACCAGAAATTAAATCCTAAAAACTAAAAGAGGTTTTTTTTTTTAAATCAGAATTTCTCTAAAGACTATTAGACAAAGCAATTGCACAAAACTATTTATGAAAAAGAATTACTGAATAGAACTGGAGAAAAAGCCTGATTTCTAATGCCCCAGAAAATCTCTTGGTGGCTTGAAGAGGTAATGGCATGGTCAGAACTCTCACTGAGCTGAAGTTAAAAACATGATGGTCCCAGCACAGGAGAACGGCATGCTGTGACTTAAAAGACACTGCATAATATTATTTGTGGAAGCCAAAATGAATTAGCACCATTAAACAGACCAGGTGAGTCAATTAATTAACCACCGTTCGGAGGAGGGACAACTAATTGTTCTGAAGGAGAAAAGAGGTATAGGGACATTTATCTCCTGTGTCCTCCCTCCTAGATGGATCTGCCCACAGATCATAGGACTGTGGCTGAATTCTCTAGATTGTAATTCACTGTTTCAGAAAGGTGTGTGATGGATCTCTCTGAGATATTTTTTCTCAAGGCAAAGATGAGAAGGGATCCCAACAACCATCTGCTCCGTACCACCAGCTATTCTCAGGGTGACTTTCAGAGGGGTTAATGATATTTCTGTGTTGCACAAAACAGCCACTGCTTCTGAAATGTTCATTCTTAATCTCAACTTGAAGGGCGTTATTGACAACCATAGTCTTAAATTATTATCTGCCAGCTGCCCCTGTGACTCTTGTCCTTTGGGAGAGGTTATAGGGTCTAACTTTTTGCAACTTTCACCTCAATTCAATTAACATTCACCAACTTTCATCTAATCTAATTCAAAGCAAGATGTACACATTTTTACCAGAGTTAGCAAACATTTTACACTTCAGATTTATATGTCTTTATAAATACAAGGTATGGTTAGCTGCTGGAATAAGAGTTCAATGAAATGTTCCCTTAAAAGGTCTATCATTTCTAAACTCCTATTGCTCATACATAAACCATCAAGAGCAAAACTAATCCCCTCCCTCTTCTGGCTCTTCTCAGGTCAATTTCCAGTTTCTCTTTTTAAAATGATTTTATTCCAACATTTTTAAAGCAAATATTTTAATACCTGTCTTATATTACATAAATTAAATAAAGTTTATATGTATAGCAGCGATACCAATGGTCATTTAATCCTTTGTTATGCTACGGAGGTCAACAATTACTAATAAAAACGTTGGTTCCTTATTTGTCCCCTTATTTTTGGATATTTCTCTGCAGATTCAGACAGAGTATGAAAAACACCCTAAAAGAAACCTTTGATCC